GCGAAGGGGAGGGGGGCGAGGAAGAGGAGCGCCCCGCCTGCAGGGGGACCCCCGCAGGCGGGGCGGCAGCGTCGGCGCCGGTGCCGGCGGGCGGTGGGCAGGTAGCCCCCGCGGCGCGCTGCTGCAGACGTCTGCGCGTTGCCCCGGTCGGCGGGCCAGGGCGTCCAGGGGTGCCTGGCGGGGATGCCTGTGACAAAACTGTGGCCAAGGCCGTGGGCTGCGCGCTGCCGGGGGGGATTGGTCGGGCCAAGAATGGGGGCGCTTGATCGGTGCGGAATCTGTTGGAGTGAGGCGGCTGAGGCCAAGACCGCGAGCGCCCGGGGTGGGCAGAACGTTCTGCGGCCGAGGCCGAGAGGCCGCGCGCTGCTGGGGAGGGCGCCGTTGTCAGATCATGGCCGGGGGTTCTGTGCTGACCCGTGGCGCCTTCGTGTCAGGTTCCCGCCTGGAGGGTCTGCCGCCTGGGAAACCAGCTGGGCGCCCTGGCTTTGGAGCAGGGATATCAGAGGTATGTTGGGCCTGTCGTGTCGGGGCGGCGCTGCCTCGACCTGTCGGCATTGGGCCAGGTGGTGTCCGCGCGCCTCTTGCCTTTCCCGACTGTGTCGCGGCCGTTCCCTTTTTCCTTTCTTTTGTCTCGCTGCCGATCGTTGCGCCGCATTTAACGTGCCCAGACGGCGTTCCAGCCCACGTGGGCTCCCCGTTTCTTGCGGGCCCTGCGGATGTCGAACTTCTCGTTGTCTACCTGGTTCACCAGGTCCTCGCAGCAAGCGTCGTGCCCGTCTGGGTTGTAGGTCTTCTGTGCCTGGGGTCCGTGTGTCCATGGCATTGCAGAGAGCGTTCCGGCCTTCGACGAAGAAGGCCCCGCGGTGCTTCCCTGGCCTGTTGACGACCGCTGGCCAGGTCTCACGTGTGTTGGGCATGTATTTCCACGTCCTGTGCCAGTTCATCATCCGACGGGGGCAGATGCAAGGGGGGTCCTGGGGGTCGTCGTGGCGGGGATGTCCAGGGTTGAACCGCGGGGCTCTGTGCCAATCGGGCACTTCTGGGTCGGCGCGGTCTGGGCGCGCGGTAGACGAGGGGCCTCCTCCCCCTTGATAGCCGGCCCAGGGGTTGGTGTGTGCCGTCCCTTTTTGTGGGGGTTGCCGTCGCGCGCGAGCGCGCGCTTTTGGCGCCGGCGGCTAGGCAGAGTGACTGCGCTGGCGGACGGGGCAAATGCAGGGCGTGCACATGCTAATTTTGCTGTTGTGCGCGAGAGGAAGAGAGGGGGCGCCCAGCGCGGGAAGGGGGCGGGGCAGAGGCCAGGTCCGCTGAGAGCGGGGCCGGGCGGCGGCGGGGCAGCGCTGGGGCGGCAGGGGGGCGGCCGCGGGGCAGCCGGGGGCGGCGGCGCCAGAGGCGGCGGCGGGAGGCGCAGCGAGGTGGGTGAGCGCCCGGATCGAGCCAACCACCCATGCGACTGAGCGACCAGAGAAGACCACCTCAGGTGAGGGGGTGGGGGGTAGCTGGGAAGGGCCCGGCAGGCGGAGCAACGCGAGGCGCCGAGATCCACGTGCCTGCGAGGCGCGGGGGGGGGGGGGGGGGCGGCCTGGGCACCGCGCGTGGGGCCGCGGGGGGCGGGGCAGCAAGCGAGCAGGCCAACCGGCAAGGCCGGCGCGAGGGCTGCTGGCAGGCGTGAAAACCAGGCAAGTGTGGGGCCCCGGCCGGGGGATCGACCAAGGCAGGCTGGCCCTCGAGGGGGGGCCAGACCGCCTGGGTGGGGGCCGCAGGCGGGGCCCGTCCAAAATTTGCCGATGCGATGCGGAAGCGCAACCTGCCAATCCAAAGGCTGGCGATGCGACCTGCCAGGAGGGGCTACGGTCGGCGTCACCGCAGCATGCCTATGCTATGTTTGCTTCGCCCCCCGGGGCGGGGGGTGCAGCGGCGGGGCAGAGCCGCCGCCCGGGCGAGGGGGGGCGGCAGCGTGGGGCCGACAGGGGGGCGCGCGGGAGCCAACGGCGAGCGGCGAGACCAGCCCGCCGGAGGACAAACGCAGCGACCGCCGCCGGAGGGGCAAGGCGCGAGCGGCGCAGCGCGCCGCGGTGGGCCCGAGAGGCGCAGCCCCGCGGCGGGGGGGCGTGGCGAGCGGGCAGTGAAGCGAGCGCAGCACTCGGAGGGGCCGAGAGCGCGCGGGGGGGTGGCGCCGTGGGCGCAGGGGGGTGCGGAGAAGGCGCTGAGCAGGTGCAGCAGTGCGGGGAGGAGCAGCGGGCTCGCAGGAGGGGCCGCCGGGAAGCGAAGGGGCAGGGAAAGGCGGGCTGGCGCCAGTGGTGACCGCGGCCAGGCGCGCAGGGGCAAGCGGTGCAGAGGGCCCGGCTGGCCGCGGGCGGCCCCGCCGGACGGGGGGCGGCGCCGCGCAGTCTCGCGGGCGCAAATGGACAGTCGCGCCCAAGGCGGGGCGCGCAGTCAGTGCCCTGGCGGGGGACGGCGGGGGGACTGGGCAGGGATGCTCAGAACAAGTTTACGCAGGGAAGCAGTGGGCGCGCGTCTGGCCCCGGCAAACCGCTACCAGGGGCGACCGTGAGCCGCGGGCCACCGTTGGTGCGAGGGGTCGTTGCTGGGTCAGGAAAAGTCAGTTGGGCGCTTGCCTTTCCCCTGCGGGGGCGGGCCCTCCCTTTTGCCCGTGGGGCCCTGGGCGCTGGGCCTCCTCTTCTCGATTTCCAGCTCCCGTGAGGCATCCCGATCGACGTGGATGCCCTGGTTCCGGCAGAGGGTGCAGACGTCGAACTTAAGGCCTGGATGAGTTTTGCCATGAAATCCCACCAGAAGTCACGAGGGTGCCGGCGGGGGTCTTTGGAGGGCTCGCGCCCCAACCTGTGGTCACATGTGGCGTTCCAGCCGATGGTCGGCATGGGGTCTCGCTCTTTCCTGGGGCGGTTGACAGTCTCCTGCCGGATCTCTTCCCGATTGGCGGTGATGTTCCAGCAGGGGTGCCGGCCAATGTTCTGTCGCGGCTTGAGGTGCAACCTGTCATCGGCGTCGTGATGGGGGGTGTAATTGCAGGGGGGAATCGGCGCTCGAGGGGGGGGGGTCGCCCGGCGCCATGGCGGGGCGCGCTCCGCCGCGTCGCTCCCGCGACCCCTCCTGGAAGCCTCCATTTGTACGGGGGGTTTTGCGCGCGGGCTCGTCTTCGTCGCCCCCCGAGGTGCCCCCGTCGGAGTGTTCAGCCTGCTGCGCTTGCCTGCGCTCAGGGCTAGGTGCTTGAGGCGTGTCTCCGGGTCGCCGCGGTGAATCGCGCGGGCTGGGCCGCGCCCCGTCGTTGCCGAGGTCGGCGGGCCCCTGTCGCAGCCGGCTGAGTCGGAGCGAGAGCGCGACGCTGAGGGCGGGTCGGGGGAAATGCTGTCGAGCCGCTTGCGGGCCGTCCTTGGGGGATCGTTGGGCGCTTCGATCAGCCGCGCACGCGCGCGCACGCGCGCGCACACGCACGCGCGCACTCGCACGCACGTGCACACGCACCCTCTGGCACCCGCGCCCGCACACGCACGCGCACGCGCAGACGAGCACGCACACGCAGGCGCACACGCACACGCACACGCACACGCACACGCAAACGCACACGCACACGCACACGCACACGCACTCGCACTCGCACTCGCACTCGCACGCGCACGCGCACGCGCACGCGCACACGCACACTCACACGCGCGCGCACATGCGCACATGCGCACGCACGCGCACACACGCACACACGCACGCACACACGCACACACGCACACACGCACGCACACACGCACACATGCACACACGCACACACTCACACGCACACGCGCACACACGCACGCACGCACACACGCACACGCACACGCACAGGCACACGCACTCGCACTCGCATTGGCACTCGCATTCGCACATGCACACACCCGCACATGCACACGCATACACATTCACTTAATCACATAGGTCACCCGCCGGTGGTGCGAAGATAATCGCGCCCCGCGCGTCGCCGTCTGGGCCAGAGCGGTTGCCCTTCTCCAGGGGACCGCGCGAGGGCGCGAGGGCGCGAAAATAATTTGTGTCTCGCGGGGCGCGTTGCACGAAGTCAGGTGACCCACTCTGCCCGTGGGGGGTGGGGGGGGGGCGGGCCCAGCCAGGAGGCTGGGCCAGTCCTCGGCAGGACCAACCGCCTAGGATTTTCCACATGGGGCTCCTGACGGCCCCGAGACGACCTCAGACCGCCCCAGGGCGGCTCGAGGGCGCTCTCCACGACCAGCCTGCCTCCAGGAGGCTTCGCGGCCGGACCCCGGGAATGCCCCCCTGCACCAGAGAGGCCGCCCAAGATGGGCCCACTGCCCCCAACACTCTTCCGATGCCTTGGGGGGTCTCTCCGAGAGATCGAGAAAGATTCTGGCTGCCCCCCAGGCTCCCTGTGGGAGCGGGGCAGGAGGCCCAACCGGAGGGCGCACAAAGCTGGCCCATGGCCGCCAGCACTCTGACGGCCCAAGCCTGGCTCAGAGCTCGCCCTTGACGGCCTTCAGCTCTCCTGATGCTTGGGTTTCTCTTCGCCCTCACCGACGCCAACCTCTCCCCCCCCCCGTAGCCATTTGGGCTCAAGCTTTTGATGCTCGAGGCTCAGGCGCGTGCGCGTGCTCTGACATATCCGAATGGCCCCATCGTCGAGTGAGGCTAGCGGAAAACACCTTCCCTGTTTCATGGTGTCGCAGTGATTTCCCCCCTCTCCCTTCCTCCGCCTTCCCACCCCCCGGTCTCATGATTTTTCAACCTACTTTAGTTTTGATCACCAAAAAGATTCCCGAGCACCAAGAAAGTACCGAAGCTGGAGGGGTTTCGCGTGTCGGGTGGTCGACTACACGTTAAGAGTGACCTTTCGCCGGAGTGACCTTAGGTGCGGGCCCACCGGGGTCCCCCGATCGCCGAGCGCGAGGAGGCGGCGGCGTCTTGCTCGCCCGTGTTTGGTCCCCCCGCGGCCCCCGGGCAACCGCGCACCAGGGGCCACTTCCTGCCCAGGGCCACTT